TTGCCTTTCCTTCTTGAGAAACAGCGTTGCTTTTAAACTGTTGGTGATTTTCATGTCAAAAGCAAGCAGATTTCAGGAGTCAAGCAGGGCTTGTCAGACAGTTCAGGGTCCCAGGTACTGAGGGACTGAATGCAAAACAGTCATCGCTTTGGGGGAGGTGGAAGTCCTGGGGGATAAGACAGAGCCCAAAATGTTGCATTTCCCTTTTGACACATGCGTCTGAAGAAGCCCTGAAATGTCAAACTCACACAAAATTGTCAAAATGATGGCAAGTAACACAGCCAAGCAGCCCGCAACGCTTGGGAACCATGCACAGCAATGCGCAGAGCGAAGCAGGATGCGGCCGGCACCATGGTACCCCCTGTTCTGACAAAAGACCCGTCTGGTTGGGTTGTATTTGCTTTGTTTGGTTTTTAAATGCTTCTTCTCTCCTTTTTAATGCAAATAAGAAAAGCTTCCTGGTTCAAAAATGGGGCGCTGGGGAGGGAGGTCCAGGAAGAGGAGCAGGGGAAGAAGGAGGAGCCGAGGAGCTTGGTGAGCAGGAAATATTCTCCTCATCTGTGGAGAGAGAAGAGGAAGGTGGGGGCACAGCCAGCATCCAAGTTATTAGCAGGGCCAGGGATGTATTATTTTACTTGGATTAACTGATAAAGCCAGCTAATAAAGGAAAATCATAATTTCTAAGGCAGATGAGAGTTAGTTGAGGAAAGCCAATATCTTCCTTTCTGTACTTCCTAGCCTCAGGAAAAACACAATCTGATACTGGTGCCATCACGATAAAACTGTACTTGAAAAATATATCTATACCTGTGCTGCTGGTAAGTGCTGGGTTATTAAAGTGATGAGAACTGTTCCCATTTGCTGAGCAATTTCCATCACGGTGCTACCATTAACTAGTGCGTTCCTGTCCCCCAAGGGGAAGAAACTTCCAGGACAGTCTTGTCCAAGTGAGCTGCATGCTTATGGGCTGTAGATTTCATTTCACAGCTGGGGAAGCAGCTGCCATTAGCGATGGTGATAAATGGCAGTGTCATGAGAAGGAACCTGAACCTGTGCGGAGGGTCAGCTCAGATGAGGGAAATCTCAAACTAGGCTCATCTGTGTTTTTTTTCCCAACCAAATTTGTTTGTTCACTGCTGGAGAATGTCACTAGGCAAGGGTGTGTTCCTGCACATGCACGTTGCTGTACATGCCCACGTGTACACGGTTTTGCTTTGTTTGTCTTGTGTCTTACACTCATTTCTTTGTTTTTTAGGGAAAGTGCCCTTTTGGGGTGGCTGACCGACCCCACTTGCCTCAGGATGGCCTAAGAGAAGGAGCGCGAGGCAGCGAGGCCTCCAGCAGCGTGGGCTGGGAGCTGACATCAGGTCACATTTTCTGACAAATCATTGACGTGTCCGGGTCTGATAAAGTTTCATTGTGAAGCTGCCAGTTTCCTTCCAAGGGCCGCGAGGATGGCTCCGTCGCGGCTCTGAAGGAAACGGGGACGGGGTGGAGACTCACCCGAAAAACCCATGAAATATTTTACAGGCGAACTACAGAGAAACCGGAGGGAAGCAAGGGCAGGGCGGGAAGGGGAGTGCTGCACGCAGACGGCGGGCCGCAGACTTTGCTGACGCCGTGGGGCATTTGGCACTCCCAGGGAAGGGTAAATACAAAGATAACTGGGCAGGGGTGTGGGTGGGTAGCGCTTAGCTCTGAAGGGCCAAGTTTCCTGTGGCCTTTCACCCTCCTGCCCTGCAGTTCACAAGCTCTTAAATAGGAACGGAAAGGTCATCACAGCCTTCTCCTGTTTTGGGACCGCTCTTTGGCGCTTTGCTTTTAGGGGCTGGCCTAACTCACCCCATGCCTGCGGTGATCCGCTGGCGTGCAGCATCACCACCACCTGAAACTGCGCCCCTCCCAGGGGCAAAGCAGGGAAAATGAGCTGAAGAGTGGGCTCCTTATCCCATGGAGATCCTGAGGGTCACAGGATTTGTGACGTGGTTCTGTTTCCACTGACAGTGTCTGTAGGTAGAGGCTTCAATGCAGTTTTATGCTTTGGTGTCACATCTGTTATTGATACTCTTCTGATCGAAACACAGTACGAATTTTCCATGATGACGATAACGTGGGAGCTCGGAGTGAGATAGCAATAATAAGTAATTATAAGTCATACTCAATTAGTCACGCCAAGTGCTCTAGACAGAGTGCTTTTCATTGCAAGTGACTCCCATGCACTTGCGCGCGCTGGTCGAGATTGCCCCCATTAATTTGCTGCAGGCGGTAGCACTGCCAGGCAGCAGCAGAATTGATCACTTCACTGTACTTGCATATTAGTTTTACATGGAGATTCTGTGCTGTGGAGGACACAGATCATTAGGAAACTGCTTTTAGCTCATCTTTTACTCCTCAGCGTCTGCCCTGCTTTCTCCTGCTGATGTTAGTAATTGATGGTCCATCATGTCGCCTCCAAAGAGATGCAGACAGCAGGACGTGGCCCTCGGAAGCCCTTCTGTGCCACAGTTTTCCCCTCCGTGAAGTACCCTGGCATGGGAAATGCTATAGGGAGCTAAGGTTTGCTGATCACCAAGTAAAAATGTGCTCACCCACCAGCAGGACACTGCACTCTGGGGCGGACGTCAGCAGCTGGTGAATAAATCCCAGCACCTTCCTCTGCTGCGTGGTTCCTTGAGCCATCTGGTCCCGCTCGCAGCCCAAGCCCTGCTCGGGAGGAGCACGCGGGACACAAATCAGGCTGGAAATAATCGCTCTCTTGGAGGGAGTGATGTGGGAGCGTGGCCTGTCCCCTCACATTTCATGTTAATGATCTCTCCTGTGGAGAGGAGGGGGGAAGAAAAATTGCAGTGCAAAAATGGATTGCTGGAGGCACGTCCCTGGCATCCTTCTTTAGTTAATTTTCTGACTTAAATAAACAAGTAAAAAATGAGATAAATAGGGAAAACATTTTTTCTCTATACTTTATCTTTTTTTTTCTTTTTTTTTTTTTAAAGTACTTTCAGTATTACTCAAGTCAGGCTTGATCATAAACCATGTAGCACTGAGTGAATGGCACAGAAATTATATTCCCAGAAATTCCAGGTGGGCAGTTTACGGTGAGCATTTTAATTTTTATGGTGATTTCATTGGGGAATGCATAAATACATAGAAAGGAGATCAACCACGGGACCACTACTGCCACCACTGGCACCAAGGGACAAGTAGACGCTGTGTATTGCCAGGGTTCATGGAAACACCAACCTAGCCTGGGGGCTTTGAAGCCAGGTTGATATGAAACTGATGTAGGAGCAACAGTTTCCCATGCTTCAATAAGTCAGGGTGTTGCTTGTAAGTGTGACTCCCCATACATAAACCCAGCACGTGCCTGATTTGGGCAGCAGCGCTCTTGTTGTGCACCCCAAATATTAAAATTCCTCTTGATGATATCCAAGGACACTGGCAAAAACTGATATATAGCTTTTTTTTTTTTTCTCTGTGTTCATTAATTTTTTCATGAGAGAAATGTTTCAGATGCTGTCACTAGATTGAAACAAAATCAAGTAAACCAGAAGCTGAAAAACTTTAGGACTGATTTCTGACAACAGTTACAAGCGGCTTAGTGGGATGAACTTCAGTGTTCCAATAAGATAAAGTGGAATAGAAAATTGATGTGATAAGAGATTGGTGAAATAGACATTTTTGATGTGCCACCCTAAAATATATGGTATTTTATTAAATTATTCTTTCAGTTGAAGGAATAACATTTAAGCACAATAAGATTAGGAATTTAAAAGACTTCAAGAGAGCTTCATTTCTCAGAGAGCACATTCAGGGACATTCTGACATTTAATTTCTCAGCAAAATGGGAAGTGAGGCTAGAAAATGGGACACAATTAGCATTTACTTACAACTTGGTTTCATTTTTGCATCGGTTCAAACAATGCAATCTGAACGGAGTGAATAATTTGCTTTGACTTTGCCTCTTTATTTCTGCTTACAACTGTTTTGTGAACAGCTTGCAAATTTCTCAAATACAGCCATTCTTTTCTGGGAGGTACCAGTTATTCATCAGATAAATCTTATGAGCAATTCTCAGTCTTCCCTTTCTCAGTTCTATATTTAGATTTTCTGCTACGGTAGCCAATATTGAGCAGAGGCTTAGGTCACCCATTACTATTTCTGCTCTCTGAGTGCAAATACGTATGGTTCTGAGAACCAATTTGAAATGTCCTCTAATTTCTGCTAATATGCTCCTTTTCTCAACACTGGTCAGAAATAAATTTAAAAGGAAAATGGGCAAGTACGAATTGACCTCAGCGCCATTTTGAGATGCTCTTGCAGATATTTGATGTACTATTTTCTGAGTTCTCATTTTAAAAACACTGAAAACAAAAATCTGAAGGAACATTTAGTAGGGGTGGGTAGAAATTGCCTCTCAAGTTAGAACTTCTTTTTGCCATTGCTCTCTGTAGAGAGCAAGCTTAGGTGACCAGCCTAGATTGAGTTCCTCCTTTTTAGATAGCCAAATTTACATGAAACGAATCCTATCCAAAGTAAAAAACAAAACCAAAACAACCAAACCAAAATCTCAGATAGCATTTTATTGAAGAAAAAAAAATGTTCCCTATCAGAAAATCGATTTGAGCAGACAGATTTCAATCACTGCTGTCTATTTTTGAATACATAGAAATGCATGCAGGACCTTTATATTATGTCTGGGCTTAAATCTAGTTTTGCTTAGCAGATTTGCTGTGATTTATCATGTAAGTTCAGCACAGATCAGACTGATGGGCACAAATCTCTGTTTACATTGTGATTAACCCAAGTTAAACCCTCAGCACATCATTTCCCTGCTACGGGCTCCTGAAGAGCAGCACTGCTGTGTCTCCGTGCTGCTGCTCCCTGCCATTTAAAGCACTTTTTCTTGCTATGAACTATTAGGGAACGAACGATGCATCACTTGAAATGGAGACATTACTGCTCAGGAGGTTTCCTGATGCTATTCAGGGCTCCACGTGGAATTCCGGATCCATTCCCATCACCAAGCGCTGCGCTGAAAATGTCAGGCACTGCACACGCTTGCTGTGTGTCTCCACAGGGGTTTCTGTCAATATACACTTTCTGTTACCCAATTTAGATGCTGAACATCGAAGTCTTGAGCGTTTGATTCAAAATTCAACAAATAATGAGCACCAAGGGTGCAGTTCTACATTGCCTTGAAAAATAAAATCTCCTTTGAGCTGTGAAAAACAAGATACTCGGTAATTTTACCTTGAGTTCTACACCTGAAGGAAGGTTTTGGAGATTGTGAGTAATCTTTTTAACTGCTGGCAGCTGAGCTCTTTGAAGGCTCTCCCCAGGTTGCCCCCATGGTTTGTAATCAGGTGTGCACAATAAATGTTAATGAGGGGGTGCTCTGGAGGTTTGGTTAAGCAGTGCAAAGGTTTGTTCGCTGGTAGAGGGTGGGAGGTCCAGAAACCCAGTGGAGCTACCCCAAAGGAGGTGAGTGGCCTGGTGGTGCTGGCTTGCAGGGCTTGAGGGTTTTTCTTCTGGACATTTTCTTTGCTTCTGGATGAGTGCTGACCTTACCCTGGGAGGCTGCAGGGTGGTGGTGAGCAGTGGGGCAGCTCGGTGAGTGATGTGTGTGAGCAGTGGGGCGCAGGTTCCTCTGTGCTGGGTTTCATCCAGCCAGCTCCAGGCTTGGTGTCTGGCTGCTGCTATGGGCTGGGCTGCTGGTGGAATGATCTCATTTCTGCAGAAATGACTTCTGTGACCTTTGGCTGTTTGCTCTGCAAGGTGGCTGTGAGCAAGCATCGATTTTTAACTCATCTTGTCGGCTGGTGCTTTCCCGAAGGTCTGGGTTCCCCCTGCAGACACCCACCTGAGTGCCTGGGAGGTGGCTGAAGGGGAAGGAGCCGGGTACTTGGTGGGCTGAGGCTCTGCCTGCCGCTGTCCCTCTCCCCCTAAATGATATGGGGTGTAGGGTACCTGCACTCAAGCGTTTGGTGGTTCTTCTAGGTGTTTGTGGTGTGGTTTTGCTCATGTGGCTTCTACCAGCTGCTTCTGAGCAGGTTGTCTTGTGGCTACCTGTGTGCGAAGGCGATGTGCTGAAATTCCCAGGGGAGGCATTTCCTAGCTCCCTGCAGAACTAGCTGCCTGTCCGTGCTGTGCTCTCCCTGCCCTGCTCGTAGGCTCTTCTTGTCAACTCTTTCTGCTTCCCTGTAGCTGCCTCTGGTAGTCCAGGTCAGGGATTTAAGCAAAATCTGTTCAGATGTGTCACAGCTGTTTGGTGGCTGTCAGAAAACCTCCGTGTGTGTGTGTTCCTGCAAAGGTGTTTTCAGCTCGAAGAGCTGCCTGGCTGCTACCACTGTTACTGGTTTTAGGTTGTTTACTCCTTTCAAGGCAGTGTCCTGACTCCCTGCTAGAAAAAGATATGGAAATAGGAACGAACATCAGAGCATGTAACAAAATCGCCCAGTAATCAGTAGATTGAACTGGTCTGGACCATCTCTTTGCCCAGCTTCTATGCTGGAAGCTTGTAGAACAGACCAGGGTCATGCTGAGAACTTTAATCTCCTTTGGTAAAAGGGGGAAATGAGTTCAGAGAAGAACAAACTTGAATATTAATAGATAAGTTTAAAGAATTAGTAAGAGAGCTAGGTGTTGTGGCTCCCTGGCTGGCCCTGCTGTGTAAGAGACTTCTAAATCCAAGATGTGCAAGATCAAGAAACCTGATAGCCAGAGCTGAGCTCTGGGCCGTGCTATTAAATGCACAAACACTGGAGTTCTGCCAGGGATCTTACGGATGCTCCTGATCTCAACGGGAGACCTGAACCTCACTGCTGCTTCCAGGAGCTTCAGCTCAGTTCAAACCCACATCCAGAGCTCGGTCCATCTCTTCAAAGCTCTTCAGAAAAGAGCAGGTGAGGATGGAAAAGGTGCAGTGGCACAGAACCTGATGCTGTTTGTCTGGTAGCTCACAGCAGAAGCCACAGGGAGGAGGGAACCTTCTGTGCTGTGCCTTTCATTCTGCACTAGAGGCAGGAGAGGTGCTGTTGAGAAAGCTGTGACGTTTTGGAGGAAGGGAAATCACAGCTCGCAGGTGTAACCTGACTTGACTGCTACCATGTAATGGTAGCCATAGCTACCCCTCTGGAAAGAAGTGGAGGGAGATGTGCAGAACTGGCCTTAAGGACAGGCTGAGTGCCTGTCCTGCCCACCTGGAGCCTGGTGAGCCATCCGTTAGTGTGGCTTCAGTGAGCTTTGTTCTTGGGGGTTTCTGAAGGTGGAAGAGGGAGAGTGAGGGCATGACAAAAATGGAAAGACCTGCCTTGGTTCTAGGGTTCAGTGTAAGTAAATCCACGTTATAGGACCATTTCCCAAGAAAAACATGGCCAATAGTTTAAAAAAATAATAATACCTCTGTCTGCATCACAGACTGCAGAATGGACTGTGTATAAATGCATGTAGGTAGTCAGGGACAAAAAATCTTTATTAGTAGATTGCTTGACAGACCACTTAGGTGTTCTTATAAGAGATACTCTGCATTCTTGTATCAAGCAGCTTCTGCTCCTAATTAAACCACTGTGAATCAGAAGCAACCTTGCCGCCCCCAGCATGGTGGCTGCCCTTCACACAGCAGCTAAGCGCGGTTTCCTGCAGGGGCAGGAGGGGACACAGTCATTTCACATTCCTGCAAAATGACCAGCCTTGAAGAGGAGTTTCTTCCAGGTAACAATTATATGAGCAGTTGTGGGGGGCAGAATTAAGAAACGCTTCCAAGTCCGACCAAAAGACATCAGGCTGGTTGTTTACCAGTCACTCTTGTGAAAATGGAAGGAAAATTCATCTGTTTGCTAGTCTGAGCTTAAAAATCCTGGTGTCCTGTTTTGGAAAAGAAAGTGCCTGGGGAGTTCAAGAATTCCCAAGGCAGTAGGTGATACATGCTCATGGAAAGGAAGATCTTGCAATAAGATAAGGCAAACCACTGTAAGCTTCAAATAGATGTGGAGCTGAAACAACAAGGATTAGGTGGAAAGGAGTTTTGTGAGGAGCACAGTGAAATTCTCTTGTGCATGTCCTTAGGGAACTGCAGGGCAAACCGAACTTAGCATTTCTCAGTGGGCACGTGTTAAAAGCTGTTTGTGGGGGAGCTCTTCAGAGTCCTACATAATATATTTGCTACAGGAGGTTCACTGTTTCAGTGACTGGTTTGTTATCACATAGCTGTTACAGTGGATGACCAAGGATGAAGAAAATAGTGATTGCTGCTTTAATAGAGTGGTAGGTTCCTGATGTGCCTTGGGACACTGAGGATTTTAACAGCATTTGTTTATTAATACAATGCTGTCCATCCTGAACATTCCCAGACCCATGTTTGCTGCTTGCTCCTCTCCAAAAATCACGATATTGGCTTAAAACTAGGAGGGTGAGGCCTTTGCTAGCAGGGAAGTGAGCTGAAGGGCTCTGTGCAGACTGATGCCTGCTGAGGGACCTCTCAGGGATTTCCCCTTGCAGGCATTGCCTCTTTGTGCACTGGTGGCATGCACGAAGATGGCAACATGGCATTCAGTTGTCCCCAAGTCCAGTTTGCTGCAGTAAATCCTACCAGCTTCTGTGTGACCACTCAGGCAGACTGTGTACCTCTTGGTCCTTCTGGTTTTTCGTAAGTTAGTGCAGCTTTCCTCAGAAGCTGTCCTTGGCCAGTCTTCAGGAGAGATTCAGCCTTGTAGTATAGCTCAGAAAATATTTTTTTCTTCTCTCTTCCACAGGGAAAAGAAAAGCAATTGAATCAGTCCTGTGGCAGGTAGCTGAGAGCCAACCTGCACCATGAAGTTGAATCCCTTTCCAGTTTTCCTCCTTTGCCATGTGGGCTCCTCGGTAGTTATGAGTGATCCAAGGCTTTCCAGCTGTCACTCTGGGTTCTGTGTGTCCCTCTTCTTGTCATCATGGTTCCGCACTCCAGCACAAATGGCACAGTGCTGCTCTGCTGTGGAGGTGCTGGAACTTTTTGAGGTGGTCTGGGAGGACTGGGGCTCCCTGCCTTCTGCCCTGTCGTCCTTCCTGCAATGAGCCATGCAGGTAGGAATATCATCCTGCCTGTAGCAGTCCTCAGGGGCTGGAAAGCCTCTTGTTAGGCTTCCTTCCTCCCCATGGGAGGGCAGGGAGGTGGCTGTCAGGTGGGACCATGCCACCTGCTGTCTCCCAGACCTCAGGCCAACCTGTACTGAGCAGCTCCTTCAAGGGGAAAATCTGGAAGGTGGCAAGTGAATCCCTCTGAGATGCAGCTCCTGCATCTTCTGAGGTGCTCTGCTGCATGATTCTGTCCTCCCCTGCTCCCTTACGAGGGGCACAGATGCCAGCAAACATACGCGTTTTCCCCCTCTTTGCTTGGGGGAGAGGTTGGGATCTCCTCAAAGGCCCTGCAGGAGGGGATGCTCTGGGTAAACCCAGCCCCATGCAGGGCTTCACCTGCAGCCTGGCAGCTCCCTGCACAGTTCTGGGGCTGATGGCTCTGCCTCCAGCTGTGCTCTGTTAAATGCCTATTGGAGACAGATTGGCACTTCTATGGCTTGAGGCATTGGTGACCACAGAAAAATGTCCTTTCAACCCCATTTGTAGTTATCTTTTATGCTGAAAGAAAAGTAAGTAAATTCTTGGTAGTGCATTAACCTTTGCCCTGTTAATATGCATCTCCTCAGCTGTTGCTGATCTTGGAAAACAATGCGATTGCACGGCACAATGAAGTATCTTCTGGTTTTACAATTGAGTCTCTTTCTTGTTTTATGTTCCACTTATTTTCTCTAGCAGATATGTTGTCACTTTTAAAAATCTTCTCAGGAGTTAACAGTGGGGGGAAAAGATGAAGATGTTCAGAGGAGCGATGCTGGGAATACTTCTGTGGTCCGTGCTGTTTGCTGTCTGGTGTTTGACATCCACTGTGAGTAACTGCGGAAATTCTTCTGCACCCATGGCAGTAAATACTGGTGTCCAGTTTCTTCCACAGAAGTATTTCTGCACTTATTCCAGAAATGACTCTTCCTTTGAAAAGAATTACATTAAATTGTTGAGATTTCCACTGCTGCTGTTGTCAGGATCACATTCAAGGACAGGATGTGATTATTTCTTTTTTTAGTGGTTTATAAATACAGAATCATTTGGATTCAACCTGTCATAAAAATTGTGTTAACTGCTCCACAGAACATTTGATAACAAATAAGATGGCTCAGTGAAACCAAACAATCTTCAGCAGATCTAGTTCACTTGCAGCCACTCAATCCTTCTGTAGTCATTCCCAGTTCCCTGCTTTATCCCCAAGTACTGCAGTGGCAAGGGTTGTTTCATGGGCTCAGTGTGAGAAGCCTGCCCTGTCTTTCCACTGTGATGCTCGGGGATCCTTTCCTGAAGGCAGTCTTTTATTTCTAGCCCAGTGCTGTGGCTGAGACCTGCCCCAGTGTGTGGGGATTGCTGCAGGTGGGCTGGGGGGACCAGGTGGGCTTTGTGGGCTCCATCAAAGCCTTGTGGCAGTGGATCATTTGCTTCCTGTGTCTTGAGATGCTCATCTGAAACACCGTGTGGGCTAGCACAACGTGCTAGGCTTCATGGTGCTATCACCATGCCATTACTCATGGTGGTATTATTGAAAGGAAATGTATTGAAGGCTGGGCAAGCAGAACACTTGGGAACAGCCAAGCCCCTGGTCTCCAGCAGCCTCACCACCTCTGTAACTGGGAGGTGTCAGCTCCTACCCAGCCTGTTCAAAGCAGGACCAGTCGATAGGGTTGCTCTGGGACATGCTGCCTGTCTCTGCTGGCTGCTGTTCTGGGTGGGTGCAGGCTGGTGGGGAGCCTCCTGTGGAAGGACATGAAGAAGTGGGCTTGCATTCATTTAACTTCACAAACATTGCTGAGTTGGAGGCGATGCTTGTTGTGGGCAAGTGTTTAACAAACGACAGGCACTGTTCTGGCTGGTGTTAATCTGCCCCCTGTGCTGTGCCTATCTATTTTGCCTTTCACTGAATGTAGCTGATAAAAATAGGGCTGTCGTGTTCTGGTTTGCATTGCAGTTCTCCATCTCGCTTCCATCAGTGGCTCCCTGCAGAATCTCAGCTGTAAGCTTTCCCTGCCTGCTTCCATGAGCTAGCCTGCTGGGTCTCACGCTTCCCAAAATGATGTGCAGGTAGTGATATGGTATGTGCAATGATCCTTTGGTGGAGGGTTTAGGCCTTTGGCCAGGTTTTAACTTACACACAGAATATCTTCTGCACGACAGCTCTCTGCCTTGGAGATCAGAGATGAAAGAAGTGAAGATTGCCATCAGGGAATTGTTTGGTTTTCTGTGCTGGGTACACAAGGGGGTGTCTATAGCTCTTCATTTGGGTACTTGTCCCAGCCATACAAATCCACCTCTGCTGAGTACGAAGCACAGAAATACTTTTTCTTGAGACAGCGTGAGCTTTGGCTTATCCCTGATGGATTTACGAGGATGCAGGAGAAGATGGAAAGCCAAGTCTGAGCAGAAAGCGAGGGGAGCTGGGTGGCAGCAGCATGGGTGCTGTGCCCAGACCCTGCGTGGGCTGGAAGTGCTGGGTATCCCTGCTGTGCTGCGTGGCTTCATCCTGCCAAAGCCAGCCAGAGCTGGGTGTGCTCTGCCCAGGGCTGCTTCTGAGGAGAAGCTCTTGCCAGCTGGAAGAGCTGAGGTCTCGAAAGCAGGGTGAGCAGCTCATCGGAGTCAAGACCATCTTCTAAATGTTAACGGGCACATTGCAGGAGATGCTCAGCAGGCACAAAAGGTCACTACTGCCCAGGCTTTCAGTAAAACAAAGGCCAGCTATTTTTAACCTAATTTCAAGTGGAAAGCCTAAAGCCATAAGCTGGCCTGATTGCAAAAAGCCTGGACTCGCCTGATAATCAGAGCTGGATGTGTAATGTGGGACTGTGACCATGTACACGTTCACAAGCCGCATCCAAAAATCCCTTCTGAACTCTGCTAATGCAGTGATGGTTGTGGGCATGGCCTGACCCTGCGGAGTCCTGCACTAAAAAGCTGTTCCTGAGTTACTGTAAGGGACAGGGAGTTTGGGAACTGAAGGTGGGAGCTGCAGGCATAACTTGCATGACTTAATAATGCCCCCATCTTCAGCTGCCACTGCAAATCAGTGAAAAAAACAAGATATTGTATTGATTACCAGGCAAATGGGACGTGCCAGAAAGGATCTTGTTTTCTGTTTGGGTAACCCAGGGCTCCTTGGATGTGTCCTATATAGAAAGCAGCTTTGAATCTGAAGGTGTCTTTAAAAATATGTATTTAAAATAGATCCATAGAGATCATGACCTGCTGGCTGCAGTGTGAGCATTGACAGGAGAAGCTCTGCACCTGCTTCATGTGGCTTCCTTCAGCCTGGAGGCCGAGCCAAGAGAAGCCATGTTCTGGTCCTGCACCATATCCTGATGTTCTTCTCACTGCTGCTGTAGAAAGCAGGACTGCAGGTACAGGTTTCCTAACACTTGTTCCTGGTGTAGGAGAAGAGTTACCAGGACTTCTTGGTGGACTTCATAAACTCTGCAGTCCCTGAACTGAGCAGCACCGGGCTTCACACAGGTTCAGTGTGCTGCCTCTCTGGTGTGACAAAGCTGTGTCAAGGAAAGGGGGGAAAAAAGGGCAAATTTGGGCCAACCAGCCTTATTTCTCCTGAAATGGGGTTTTATAGCAGGGCTTTTCTTGAACTTATGGAGCATATGTGGAATACTTTTGACTTCTTATCAGCCTGCCAGTGAAGACCTTCTCCATAGCAGGGACAGGCATGGACTCTCAGCTGCCCTGCTGTGCAGTGATGAGAGTAGATCACCTTCTGGTTACAGCACAGGAATGGGAGGGCTTGTGAGCAGAGGAGCCGCTTCTTCCATCAATGGTCACTGAGGGCTTGGTAAAGCAAGTAGCTTTGCTCCTGGAGCACCTGAGCACATCGTTTCCCTTGGCAAACAAAGCTGATCTGTGCCATTGGGTGGCTGCCAAGCACAGCATCGGGTCCCTGCCTGCAGCAGTGATGGAGAGGCTTTGTGTCCAAATTAATACATGTGACACAGCCCGGGCCTGTTCTTGGCTGCTTTCTGACGAGCTCTGGTGGGACGCAGTCCTCAGCCTGTGGCAGTAAGCGTTGCTGGCAAGTCCTGTGGTTCCAATTTCCCTGCTGCTCATCTGTCTCCATCTGCCTTTGGGCCAGTGCAGGGGATGCCGTGGCTCAGCTCCTGAGCTACGTGCTGTGTTTTAGGGGAAGATGCTGCTGTGGTGGTGATTTTTCACTGAGCAGGCGCACAGCGTGCATGGCCACTGCTATTTCTAGGTGCTGCGGTACTGCCAGACTCTCTCTTTTGCTCAAGAAGCACAAGCATGGTTTTCTGCAGCTCCATAAGAGATTTGGAGCTCTATGGCTTAAAATAAAATTAAAAAAAAAAAAAATAAGCCCAGCTATCTCACTGGTGTGTGCTGCCCCTCTGGATCTGAGGGGTGCCCCAGACCTCCTGAACACGCCTGGTGCTGCACTCACCAGCACTTGGCATTAGTGCTTCAATCTCTGAGGAGACCAGCATGTCCTCAGGCTGTCAGAGTGCACCGATCACACACATGTATCTCTTTATCTTATTTGTAGGGCTCCTGTCCCCAAGCTGTGAGGTGCTGCAGAGGTCACTGAGCTCGTGCTTGCCCAGAAATTCCCATGGAAAACCATTGATAGGTCAGGAATGGCAGTGCAGGGCTGGCTTTGGAGGATCCCGAAGTGCACCATGAGTATGTTGTTGCCCTCATTCTTCTTTCCAGGCACAGATTTCTTTAAGTTCTTTGGTAGAAGTTGTACAGGACATCTCTCCTTAAAGCAAACAATAGGAGCTGTATCTCAAGGGGTGCAGATCAGCCGAACCCCAGCAACGGCAGCGGAGCTGCTTTTTTCCCCCCAAGCCTGCAAGAAGTGACAGATCAAACACTCCTTCCTCCAGATTTGCTAGGGCCAAGACCTGTGTATGGCTGTACCCTTGAGTGACAAACTTTCTTGTGTTTTTTTCCCCCTGCCCATCATAAAGCACTGCACCAGGTGTTTGCACTTAACCTCCCTCTGCTCTTCAGCAAAACAAAAACCACGCTGCATTTCCACGGCGTCCTGTGAAGCATCCTCACTGTGTGCTTCCCAGGGTTAATCATTGAAGTTAATGATAAAAGTAGCGCAAAGCAGCAAGGGGATACGTGCCTGTCTCAGTTAGTTTCAAGGCTGTTGCAGTCTGCCTGCTCCAAATCACAGAAGGGAGCTGATGCCACCGGTGAGGAGCAATGGTTAAAAAAGAAAAGCCTTGGCTGCTTCCCAGAGAGCTGAAGTACTAATTAGGGCCATGGACAGTCGGCTAATTCAGACCTTAATGAGCCCCGAGGGACTGCAAGATAACAAAAGCTCAGATGGGTACACCACTGTGCAGCCTTGAAGCTGGGCTGTTTTAGTGCTAAGAGCCTTGACGATAAATGTGGCATCGTGCGTGGAACTGGGAGGAAACTGGAAAAGGAGCTTGTGAGATCTGGAGGCAGGTGCAGCTTCCTCTAAGGGCAGATTTCACCCACAAAAAGCCAAAAGCACCCCAGTGAGACTGGAGGCCTCTGTAGTGGAAAACAAGATGTGAAGTTCGGTTTTAGTCCTGGGGTTGCAAAGACGGGTCAAAGGTGGGACCGAAGTCATCGTCTTGTTTTGAGGATGTTGGGCTGGATCTTAAATTTCTTCTCTTGGTGGTTACCTTTTGGTTTTCTTTTGAAGAGTCGTGGTGCCTTTCGTCTCCTTCATTTCCTTGGAAAGCACTTTTTGTGTGGGCATGGCCAACATCTAGCATAGGATGCTTCCTTGCCACCAGGACCCAAACCAGATGTAAAGCAAAAAAGAAAAAAAAGCAAAAATCCTTCCAGCTGGCCTTGCAACCTGCTCCCAGTGAACCCCAGGTACCCCTCAATCACCCTCAGTGAGCTTTGGCTAAGGTGCCATGGACCCTCCGTGGTTGTGTGGCTCTTTCCAGCAGCACCTTCCTCTTGTGGGTTTTTGCTTTTTCAAAGCACAACCACACGACTGGGAGCATAATGAGGAGATCTTGTTGGGAGCATCCTGGCAAACGTGGGCTTGTTGGTGTGCTCCTGCCAGCCTGCTCAGACAAGGCAAATATTCCTGCCTCTGTGTCTGTGCGGGCATTCCTGCCCCGGTCTCCCTCGTGGGCTGTGATGGGCAGGATCTGGCCTTTAATCACAGGTTTTTGTGAAGGTTTGTGCCTGTACGGCTGCAGCACCAATTATCCCTGCATTTAGCCTGCTGAGAAGTTAGAGGTAATTGACACAATTTTGCTTCAAAGCTCGTTTTTAATGAATTAAATTTAAATTTAATTAACTATTTCTCACATTTTTGTATTTTTTTTGTTTCCCTTAGTAAGCTAAAATGCTCATTGTGGAGCTGATGGGCATAATGTTAAGCTGGTTTTGAGGGAGGGTAGTGGAGAGGAAGGTTTCTCTGTGTGTGTGATGGGTCCTCCCTGCCGGAGGAGCATTAGGTCTCATATCACAGAATCACAGAATTTCTAGGTTGGAAGAGACCTCAAGATCATCGAGTCCAACCTCTAACCTAACACTAACAGTCCCCACTAAACCATATCCCTAAGCTCTACATCTAAACGTCTTTTGAAGACTTCCAGGGATGGTGACTCCACCACCTCCCTGGGCAGCCTGTTCCAGTGCCTCACAACCCTTTCAGTAAAGAAATTCTTCCTAACATCTAACCTAAAGCTCCCCTGGCGTAACTTTAGCCCATTCCCCCTCGTCCTGTCACCAGGCACATGGGAGAACAGGCCAACCCCCACCTCTCTACAGCCTCCTTTAATGTACTTATACAGAGCAATAAGGTCACCCCTGAGCCTCCTCTTCTCTAGGCTGAACAAGCCCAGCTCCTTCAGCCACTCCTCATAGGACTTGTTCTCCAGGCCCCTCACCAGCTTCGTCGCCCTTCTTTGGACCCGCTCAAGCACCTCCATGTCCTTCTTGTAGCGAGGGGCCCAAAACTGAACACAGTACTCGAGGTGCGGCCTCACCAGAGCCGAGTACAGGGGGACGATCACCTCCCTAGCCCTGCTGGCCACACTGTTCCTGATACAAGCCAGGATGCCGTTGGCCTTCTTGGCCACCTGAGCACACTGCTGGCTCATATTCATCTAAGTGCCTTTCCCTCCTCAGTGGTCCTATTTACGTATATGTGTATATATATAATGGAATATATATATTGAATCGTGCTGGCACTGTTACAATTCCTCGTGTAAATAACAATGGCCTTTTCTCCAGGCTGCTTCAAGCCCAGCCCTGCTGGGAGCCCCTTCCCTGTTGCTTAACTTTCTCCCCATCCCTGCAGCAACAAATCATCCCATTCATCACTAACCCATTAAAATACTGTGTACAACTTTATTTTCTATTACACTTAGCAAAGCAGGCTGATAGTAAACCTCTGAGTATCAAGCTCCTGCAAGAGGCAGTGGGAAGTTAGGTGTTGGCTTGCCTGGAAAGGTCAATCTGGCCAGTGGTGAGAGAGGTTAATTTGGTTTCCCTGCTAAAATAAAGGATGGTGCCTTGCTCCTTACCCTTGTTTACCCAGCTCAGGAGCAGCTCCCTGCTTTGCAAGGCAGGATCCCGCCCTTCCTCTCCTTGCCGAGCTGTGCTTCCTGAGAAAGCACAACCTGTCTCCTCCATCTGCTGACCGGGACTAAAATAGCTGGGGGGGCTCTCCTCCCCCTGCCCGGGCAGGAGACATCGCTCAAAGGGCCAGGCTGTGTGGGACACCTGCTGAGCATCCCCGTGCAGATAAATTACCCACGGGACACACAACTGCAAGGCTGCATGTGCTCAGGTGCTGAGTGCTGGTGCAGCTTCACAGGCAGGAGCCCAAGGTGCTCAGCACGGTCCTGCTGAGACCCCAGCTGGCCAACGGGGCCCCCATCTGTACGACAGCCTGCCTGCCTTCCTCCTTTTTATTATGTTGGTGTTTTGCAAACAGCTATAAAGGCAGACAAGTGGCATTTTATCTGCATTAGCAGCTCGCGTTCCCTAAATATCCCAACGTGCAGGTGTGGTGTTGCTGCCTCGCTCTTCTGCTCCTGGCCCTTTGCTGTGCCACGAAGGGCAGCATCCCTGCAGCCTGCACCTCGCCTCTGCTGCTCTCCTTGTGGGCAGCTCCCCTCTGGCCCTCTGTCCTTTGGTAATAACCAGAAGTGCAAACGGCTGCAGCATGGGCAGGAAAAAAGTGCAGGGTTTGGGCTCCTGCAGATCTTTAGCACCACAAAATAATGGGATGTGTTGAAAATTGTGACCTTTTAACATTGTTTTGCCATGAAATCCTGAAGTTCTTCTTGCTTGATACGGTTTGTGTATCAGTTGCAATTTCAGTTTGTAACTCAAGATCCTAAAAATAACCAGATAGTCTGCGGCTGGTAGGAGCTGGGACCTGCAGGGCAAGTGAGGTCTCTTCCTTGTCATGTAGCAAGGCTGCCTCATTTGCAGGGCTTTTTTTTTTTTTTTTTTTAGGAAGGTCTAATAGACCAGGTATATGGACTTGGTCACTAGCTTCTTTTTGCTGCAATAATGAGAAGTTTTTTTTCTTTTTTCTTGAGTGTGACCTGCTATGTCATATGGATTTTTTCAATCAAAATTCTTTAGTGATGGTTCATCTGATTCAGGCTTATAGGAAGTAGCTATTAGAAGTCTTTTCCTCTCCTCCCCAGCTTCCAAAAGAATGATCATAGGAACAAGTCTCAATCAGGTGGCTGCGATGGGCAAAGGCATCACGTTGCTGCTGTGAGGGCGTTGGGTGCTTGTTGTGGAGGTCTCTGCTTGGCCATTGATTACTGTTGATTCTTGGGAGTATCTTGCCCTATGCTACAGGGAGAAGGATATTTCTGTCTGCATGATGTGTGTGCCCACTGATGGGAGAAGCATGCTGTGTAGTGAAAGCCCACGGGTTCCTCTGCATCTTACATTCAGCTGAAATCCAGCGTTTGTGGCTGCTCTGCTGGGTGAGCTCGATCAGGAAATCTGTGTGGAAGCAACACTGCTCTCCCCAGCATTGAAATAGTTTTTTATTTCTCATTGAAATAGTTCTTATTTCTTTCACATCTGAAATCTCAGACAAAAAAAAAAATCCTGAAATGTGTAAGAACCATGAAGGATCATGAAACCCCCCATCCGTCAGGTTTCCTGGCACTGCTGCTCCCCCCAGCAGTGAAGCTGTGGAGTCAAATGGAAAGTGGAGAAGAATAATGATCCACTAGATACCCTGCTGCCTTGCCATTAGGGAGCTGAGTAGGTAGAAGAGTTGGATTTGGCGTAGGAATTCCTATTCCTCTGCTGTGCTCAGCTCCTCTCTCCCTTTTCGTCTCTGACTTAGTGCAGAATTCATTAATACGACACTGAGAGATATGAGGCGAGTGCTGGGCAGGTATTTTGCCTCTCAGCATCCTTGTTCCTACCTTCTGGCCAGTAAGGGGACCCAGAAAGACTTCAGTGTATTGCTTCCCATCTGGACCCCCTTTTCCCTGGATTTTGCAAAGTATCTCACACACCTGGTGAGCACAGTGCATCACACCCCTGCGCTGTGATTTCCCTCCTCACCACCGTCAATTCGTGGGGTAACAACATAAGAGTAGCAGAGCTCACAGCAGTAAGAAACCGTAACAATCTTTGCCCTCCAATTCACCTGTTTGGCATTCTCAAGGAGATGTGAAATGGTAACCCTCTTTAATTCAGGAACGTACTAACTGATCTCACATTTGTTTGCAGCTGCTTAAAGCACTCTCTCCTCTTTGCTCTCTGTGCAAAGAGCCTACATATGGAAGATAAGGCTGCCACTTGCACAAATAAACGTGGATGTTGATAGAGCATAAATTGCCTGAAAGCAAGGGTTAGATTTTTCTCCTATTCTGAACTTGGTATGCATCAAAAATGCAAACTTTGTGCATTCCCAGTCCTCCGTGAAGAAGAAAAAGGCAATCTTTTCTGCCATTACTGACTGACACCTAAGGAGCAAACAGAGCAGAGTAACAGGGAGCAGCCCATCTTGGCAAGTTTTTTTTTTTTTTTTTTTTTTTTCAAAAAAAAACTCATCGATCTATTCTCATAGATGAATGCTAGGGAGAGAGCTGGGACTTAGAAATCAAATGGAGCTGTCGTCATACAAACTGGGTTTCCTTTCAAAACTCTTCCAGTGGTATTTATTTCTTGTATTGATTTCAAGAAGCTCTGGCTGCAGCACGGGTTGTCTTCTGGTGTGAATGCTTCTCTTGAGACTATTTTCCAGGTGTTTTTCTGAGCGCAGACATAGTTGAGAAATCAAATCAGCATCACAGAGGACAAAGGGGGTGGCTTCAAAATTAACCTCTTGTAATGGTTTGGCACTACTTCCTTGGCATCTTTACCTGGGCATCTTAAGCAAAATATGAATTGCTCTCAGGAGACAAAGACCTTCCTCCCCCTTTTCTCTCTAGAAGTCAAAACCAAGCACAGAAAACTAGAATGATGCTCCTGGGGGAGGGAGGAATGGTGCAGATTGGTCAGTGTAGAAGAAAAACGGTTTTTTTCCTTCCATTTTATTTTAAGTGGAGATGAATTTTGCTTCAAAAACATTGCTGGGTGGGAAGGGATGATTCCTTCCTTACCTCCCATGGAAATAAGGCCGAATGAGTAGGCACAGCACCCACAGCCAAGGGGTGTTTCCCTCATAAATGAAATCTAAGGAGGGGAATTGGTTTGGCTTCTTCTCTATCAGTAGAAATATTGATTTGTGTCCAAAATTGACCTTAAAAAGTATATTTTTATTTAACTTGCGCAGGTGTCCTGCCACACCCCTCCCTTTAGGTAATTTTGTCTGGATGGCTCTCAGCCAGCTGGCCAGTGTGGGGCATCTCCTTGCAAAGCCTTGATTATTTTATTTATTTATTTATTTTTAAGCAGTCTGAGGGCTGAAATGGAGCTGGCATCTGTGGCATCAAGGGCCTTTCTGAACTGAGGGCAGTGGAAGTGGAAACCAAGAACCGTGGATAGGCCCTGGTTATTTCTTCCCGTTGCTTTTCAACATGCATGTTTCCCCAAAAGGTGTCGGAGAACCTCCTGCGGTGAGGGAGGGAGAAGGACTCTGCAGTACTCGTGTGGTTGTTGCCCTGGGAAGCCTCCAACTCTTTGGGCTTTAGGAGGAGTCCAGACATCTGAAAATGCATTCTCTTAACGTTTGGCAAGAGAAGGATTCGAAGGAGAGACTATTAAAATGTTACTTTTCATTAACACGAGTTAATTAAATCATTTAGCTAGCACTTTCTGTACTGAGAGCACGTAGCCACATGCTATTTTGGGGTTTCACTT